TGTCCCACTATCATGCTCAGTCTTCATGTGGTTTTCAGTAATTCCTCTTGGATTACGATACCCTTGATCACACCCTACCAGGCCTCCTACACCCTCCTCACCACCGATTTGGAGGTTCCCTTTTCCCTGGGTTTGTTAGACCACTTCCTAACCACCACCCCATCCTCTATCCTTTGTCCCCGGAACAGTCAGCCCGATTGTTTTCTCCTCCACATTGTGTATCCAGGTTTGCTCTCTTCTTGATTCACTCTGTTTTGGAGGGTTCAGACCACACTGCTTCCCCACCATGTGACTCCAGAAATGTCCTCTGCCTCATTCTGCTCCAGTAAGGGGACTGCGTGATACATGCTGTTGTCATTTTCCCAGCCCCCTCTGTGTCCCATTCACTACCAGCAGGGACATCATCCTCTGAACATCAAGTGCCAGATTGGGCCCAGTTCTACTCTCTTTCTCTTCCTCCCTCCTGGCCTGCCTCCATGTGGGTATGGCATGCTGGTCCCTCTCCCCTACCTGCTTTCCGCCACACCCACTTCCAGGGAGGGGGTCAGTTTGGCTCTGGTTGGGACCACCCTGTAGCTCTCTCTTTTCATGCGTCCTTCCATGTGACCATGCTGTCCTCATGGTTTGGTGCTTTATGGTAGAGTCTGCATGCCCATTTCAGGTTCTCAGGAGACTCATGCTGTACTTCTCCTTTTGTGATTGGCTGACTTCGCTTAGCATAATTTCCTCCAACTCTTCCCATGAAAAGACGTGCTTCATGTGCTCATCAGTGCTTTTTAGTGATGCATATAGTACTCCATTGTGTGTATGTGCCAGCGTTTACTGATCCACTCCTGTACCGATGGAAATGTAGATTGTTAACAGTTCTTTGTGATTGTGAATTGCGCTTGTCGCCATCTTGACCAGAACTCAATGATTTAGTTCTTTGGGGGGGAAATTGATTCCATTTTTTTCCTTTGGTAATCTTTATAGCATTAGGTTCTACATTTAGGTCTTTGATCCATTTTTAGGGTTTTAAAATATATATATATATACTATGAGATATGGATCTTGTTTAATTTTTCTGAAATGGTTAACCAGATTTGTCAGCATTATTTGTCAAAGAGACTATCTTGTTTTCATTTAATGGATTTTAGCCCTTTGTTGAAGATCAACTGTCCATAGGTGGATGGATTTACTGTTGGGTCTCAATTCTGGTTCCACTGGCCAGTGTGTCTGTTGTTGAATAGGCTGTTTTGACTGCTGTGACTGTGTAGTAGGGTTTGAGATTGGGCACTGTGAGGCCTCCTACTTTGTTCTTTGGTCATGCTTGCTTATCAGTTGTCACGCTCTTGTCCGTATACGGTTGATGTTTTTGTTTGTTTTTTTGTCTCTTTAAGAAATGCTGGTTGAATCTAGATTGAGATTGCATTATATGGCACATGAACACAGTAGAATATATGTAAATTTTAAGAATAACAAGTCATATTAAAAAAACTCATAATGTGGATGAACCTGGAGGATATAATGCTGAGTGAAATAAGTCAACCACAAAAGGACAAATACTGTATTTGTCCACCATTATAAAAATGTGTGTGAGGGGGAATGGGGAGGGAGGGGAAAAATGAGGAACCGCTATTAAGGGCTCAAGTAGAAAGCAAATGTTTTGAGAATGATGATGACACCAAATGTACAAATGTGCTTGACACAGTGGATGTATGTATGGATTGTGAAAAGAATTGTATGAGCCCCCAATAAAATGATTAAAAAAATATGTGTGTATAGAAAAAAACAAAAGCCACCATCTAACTAAATACAAATCATTTTTCATGCATTATAAAATGAATTCTATTTTTTGCATTATTGTAAAAAATATATTTTTATGGAAAAATTCAATTTTACTATACTTTTAAAAAGAATAAGCTATTGAATATTTCATACTGCTGTTATCTCTGCCTTACCCCATTCAATTTTGGTATGTTTAGTCACTAGTGATAATAGCTATTACCAGTGGAAAGAAGCACTGTAGCAAAAGCCAAATGCTTCCACAGAATGCACTCTTTAATGTTAATACTTAATGTGGGCAAAGATTTTTTTCTATTCTCATACATATCTAGTGGGCACATGAATTGAGGCAGTCTTTCTGGAAAGCAATTTCCTTTTTTTTTTTTTTTCCGGCCAAAGAATCTCGGGGTTCAACTTAATTTTGTTGATACACGAACTTTTTAAGCCAACGTACGTGAGGGAGTGATTAATTATACCATCTGCTCAGGGAAGGAGAAGAAAAATTCCTCCGGAGAGGACACCAGTTGCTGTATACCGCAGCCCTCTGGGGAGAAAGAACACAAAAACCGAGGGGTGAGCGTAATACAGAGCCGGGCTTTTTATTTTCCTCCAAGCTCCACAGACACGTGGCGCCACCTGAGCCAGAGAGCCATCGGCCGTCGCCAGGCTGCGGGCTTCGCTCCCTTCAGGGGGATTTGCGGTGTCCTAGCTCACCTGAGTCCAGAAAGCCTGGACCTCCGGTCCAGAGCTCTGGCCCCGATCCAGGGTGCGCCTCCCACTCGAGGGACCCCAGTCCGAGCGCAATTTCCTAATATACATCAAATGCTTTTTAAAATGCCCACGTTCTTTAAGCCGCAATTCAATTTCTAGGTACCATATATACGCATATATAAGCCGAGTTTTTCAGCACAATTTTAAAAATCATTTTATTGGGGCTCATACAATTCTTATCACAATCCATACATACATCAATTGTGTAAAGCACACTTATACATTTGTTGCCCTCATCATTTTCAAAATTTGCTTTCTGCTTGGGTTCCTGGAATCAGCTCCTTGTTTTCCTTTTTCCCCTCCCTCTCCCTCTCCCTCTCCCTCTCCCTCTCCCT